ACTGCCATCCACTAACTTGAGGACCACAAAAGAGCTTTAAAAGAGAATTAGCTGGAAAAGGTGAGCAGAAGTTTCAATGAGACAAGAAGGTTCTCTCGCCACATGGCTAAACAGTCAGAGGAATGGGTACAGTATTCAGCCGAGACTACATCAAAATATGATCAGTTCTAACGTTTGCATCTTTCCCTGGCTGGGGCTTTACCTGGCATGGGAAGAGGGTATCTCCTGATACTGCCATTGGTCGCCTTCCTGGGCCATAGCAGAGCCACCTCTCACCTGGGATGGGGAAACAGATGTTGGGGGGTTTGGCGTAGAGTGGGGGACGTGTTGGATTTGGGTTTTACGGAGTGTGGGCAGTGGTTGCACGGAGGACTGTGCTCCTGCCCAGGGCGAGGCTCCTGGTTTTATATTTACCGGGGGCCTGAATGCAGGATCAGGACACCACAGCATCATCTCGCCCTCTGAGAATTTGCACCTTTATAAGACACTTAACAATTTCAGATCTGGAAACGGGAAGCGTCTTTTTAATAGACTGCTAAGCCACTCCCCATAGAGTAGCAAGAGGAGTCCCCTGTATTTAGTGAGGCGCTCAGCCCTTGGGGGAACCTCAGAGGATGAAAGATTGAGGCAAACACTGGATTAATCCTTTGAGAGTATAACTCTCATCCCCACACCCAGCGTGGTTGCAAACGCTGCCTCTCCGTTCACTGTGATGCCCAGGGGGGACGTGGCAACCCACTTTGGTGGCAGGGTGGCCCCAGGACTGCTGTTCCTAAGGACATCTGTGAGCATCCCCCAACCTCCCCGCCCCCACAAGAAAGTATGTCTCAGATGTTTTTTCTCCATGGAAAGATTATCTTCTTGAGGCAGACTGCAGCCCTCTCTAGGGAGACCCAATGCTAGAGATAATAAACGTTGTCTTTTCTTCTTACACCTGGTTTGAAGTTCCTGGGACACAAAGGGCTTCCTGGCTGTGCCAAGCTTGTCTTGGGAGATGGAACAGGCCCTCCTTGCCATGTGCTCAAAGTCACTCTTTCCAAGTTTTAAATTTTTCTTTCTGAGAGATCGAGGAGAGAGAAAGAAAAAAAATAACATTCCCACTGATCTGCAAACAATTTGTGAGTGGATCACACTTGTTAGTTCAAGCTGCAGTTAGTCTCCTTCTCAACAGTGGGGAGGGGCTGGCGCTGCCCCCACCTAGCTTGTCATCGTTGAGGACTGCAGAGAATCAGATTTTTACACGACCTGCAAGTTGCCAGGGCTCCTGCCACAGCCTCACGGATGCTGGCAGAAGACACGAGACTCCGGAGTCAGAGAGCAAAGACGTTCTTTCTCACGGCACAGCACTCGGTATGAGTGCCACATTCCCATCAGTTCCTCTGTCCCCACAGGACCCGTGGGGTGACGGGGGTGACGCAGAGCGGTCCAAGTGGATGCTGTGTGCAAAGTGAGTTTGCATCATGGCTGAGGAGCTCTGAGCCTAGGAAACCCCAAACTTTTTCGCCCAGTCAACAAATCCTTATATGCACCAGGCACTGTCCTAGGAACGGGGGACAAAACAATGAGCTCTGTCCTTGTGGAGCTGTCTTCCAGACAGGGAAGACAGGTTATAGACAAAACCATTATAAATAAGTAAATTATAGAGTAAGTTAGGAGATGATAAGGGTATGGAAAAAGAGCTAGAGCAGAAACGAGGAGCAGGAATGCTGGGGGTGGGGACTGTGGTATTAAATAGCGGGCTCGCGGGGGTCTGGCGGAGAAGGTGAGATAGGGCTGCAGATGGCAGGAGCTGAGGGAGCCTGCCCGGACCACCTGGATGTCAGGGACCAGCGAGGGTGTGAACCCAGACCACCTGTGGCTGATGCCTAGGAAACTTTTAAAGGAGGCTGTTGGCAAACCTGCCCAAACTCTGCCTCCGAGAAAGACATTGTTTTTATTATCCAGGTCAGCAAACATCTGCCTTTTGCCCAGCAGGAAGATACCGTCTCTACCTTCCAATGCTATTAGCTATGCAAACGTCCTTGAAAACACAGTCCAGACAGGAGCCACCAAAGCTCCAGCTCAGAAGCACAAGTGCAAGGGACCTGCACGGAATTGTCTTCCAACAGTTATGTTCCCCTCCTATGCTCGACAGCACTTGAGTGACCCACGTTAGGCTGAGGCCCATCCAGGCTGAGGCCCCAGCTTGCCGGGGGTGAGAGGCTCAGCTGGGATCCTGTCCACAGTCGCCGTCTGTCCCTGCTGTGGATCCGGCATGTCAGGGCGGTTTGGTGGGCTACCCAAGGGCTCTGCCATCACGAGTCTTCCATGCAGACAAATGTACCATGGCAAACACACAGTTTTTATGCTGGCCTGAAGATTCCTTCTTGACGTGCGCCCTTGTCACGGATTACAACAGCTTGGTTTTCAAGACCAGCAAAAAATCTTTCCTTCACTCAGCCTCACTCCTTCTACTCTGTGTTTGATGGGTCATTTTGGACCAATGGGTGGAGAAGCAATGTGGGGTTCAGGAGCCCTTGAGATTAAATTGTGGATATTTAGTCTTTCCGGGTGATCTTCAATGAGCTGAGATACGTTTTGGGCCACGTTGTTTAGAAAATTAAAAGAGACTTTTAAATATGAACATACTGTTAGGTTCTTTTGAACGTTTCCAGAGTAGGTGGCCTTTAACAAACTAGTCCTTGGGTTCCTAACCCTATGTCAGTCCGCAGATGCTGCGTGCCATGGCTGCAGACTGACTCACAGGCTTGCAGAGCTTCTCTGGAAGACCCCAGCCGTGCCCTCAAACATCGCATGAAACTGCTGTCATGTGGGTGATTCAGGCATCATGGCACCAGGTCAGAGGGACCTTAACTGAGTAGTGATCTGCTGCTTATTTTGAGAGCAATTTAAGCAACAGTGTGTTTTCCGTACCTTAAGATAGTATCAGGAGTCCCCGCAGCAAGGCACAAAGATGACAGGTGGAATTAGAGATTACTCGGTCGAGCTGGAGACCAGTTTCATGCCATGTCGCTGCTCTATCTTCTTAACTTTTCCTCCTTCTTCTCTTCCTAGGTCGCCGGGTAGATGTGGGTGAGAGAAAGAGTGGTCTGGCAGGCTTGTGAATTGAACAGAAGCACCAGGCTCCTGGGCATAGTACGAGCGCCGAGTGCCGTGTGGCTCACTGGCCGTGTATTGACAGGAGCCCTTGCTCACTTAGGGAAGGTGGCATTTTTCAGGCTGCCGGCAGGATGGGCGCTGAGGAGGGAACCCTCCGTCGACCTGGTAGCTATTGGCCAGAGGATAAAAAATGTGTCTGTGTTTCACCATTCTAAGATAAAATATTCCCTTTGCACACTTGGGTTAATAGGCTGATGTCCCCTAAACAAATTAGACTAGAGACAGACAGAGGTCCAGAAGAAATGGATTGTTATCACTTTTAATAATGGTCTTGTTAGTATACAGTTCCCCTTTAACCTACAGCTCAGGACCCCTTTGCAGACAGTAACACTGGGCTCCTGTGTGAAAGATAAAGGGGAGAACTTCTCATACAGTGCTTGCATGTTGAACTCACTTTAATGAGCATTTCTAAGGCAGACGTCTTGAAAGCAATCCATTCCAGAGGCAGACAGGATGTAGAATTTTTTATTTTTGTACAGCTTGAGAGAAAAATTTTAAAAAGCTCAACCTCTAAGTTTGGGGAATATAGAAGTTTTAGGCTAATGAAAGATAGAGCTTTAATTTTGTTTCCCCCACAGAAAGTAGCATTTTGTTTCTTTTGCATAAAAAAAGCAGTCTGTGAGTACGCGAACATGTCCTCATGGATTGAACTCTGAAACCACGGCAAGAAAAACTATGCCCCTCACGTTCACAGAGTCGTCTAATGCTAGAGTCCGCGGGTGGTGTCTTGACACAGTCCTGGACTCATTCTGTGTCACTGACTTTAAGAGAAAAATGGACCTTCCTGGAAAATAAATAGGAGGAAGAGAAGATGGAAAAGACGGAGGGAAGGAAAGACGTTTCTGAATATGTTCCACGATGCTAATAACTATTAATAGCACCAGTCTATATGGGTGGGCATTTGATCGCGTTTTCTGGTCAATGCCAAAATTCTGACAGGAAGCCCAGGTTATCCTTCCCATTTACGGAGGAAGCCTGAAATGGGGGCCTTGGGGACAAGGGAGGGTGACTGGCTGTTTTGAGAGCGCACTGGGCAAGGGTCTTGGGATGAAGAACGCAGTTCATACCCCTTACAAATTAAGTTCTCTCCGAGAATGGGCCACATGGTAAATAATTTAAAGTGAGAGGAAGGAAACTAAAACCTTAGATATCAGAGCAACAGCCCTTGCTACTGACTAGCTTTCCCCTGGGTATAGAGGAGTGGGTGGAGACCACACGTATTAAGATGGCTTATTGTACATTTGGATGCCGGTCACAGCAGACATAGAGCAAGTCACAGAGGGTGGGACGCAGAGTCCTCCTCCAGGGGCTCAAGCTGGGTCTCGGTGACTCCAGAGCAGGAGTCGGGTGAATGTTCCCTGTGAAGGGCCAGGTAGGAAACATTTTAAGCTCTGTGGGCCATACTGTCTCTGTTGCAACCACTCACCTCCGCCATTGTGGCACGGAAACAGCCATGGACAACAGCAAATAGTGCATGCATGTTATTCCAATAACACTTTATTTACAAAAACACCAGGAGGCTGGGTTTGGCCCACAGGCCATGGTCTGCTGATCCCTGGCTGTGGCAGGCAAGGAGTGGAGCCTTGCAGGGAGCTTGGACCGCTCTGGCCGGCCCTGCATTGCCACGGAGACCAGCCTGCGTTTTGTCACCTCCAGCCTGAGAGCAGAAGCGGTACCCTCTCTGCTCTCCCCAGCGATGCCTGAGAGGTTCGGGGCCTCAGTATCTTCTCTGATTGACTGAGCTGGGCTCTGGGTTCAGGCCTGGTGTTTCCAAACAGAAACATCAGTAGGAGACACGACCCAGCAATGGGTAGAAGACAAGAGAAGCAGACATGGAAATAAAGGCAGACGACCTTTTCTTTTTTATTTCGCTTAGACAAAATGCAAAGAGTGTCTCATTAAATTAAAAAATAAACAAAAAAGAGAACCAAATTGATTCCCCCCCACCCCTTCACTGACGGCACTCATCCTAGTTGACAACAAAAGAAGATCAAATCGAGGCCCCGGTTTCTAATGGGAAAGAAAGGTGTGCGAACGTGACTGAAGTCTGCCCCGCCCCCAAATCAGCGTTCCTTTTCAATTCACAGATCGGCTGATTTCCCCCTCCCCGTTTTCTCTCTTGACTCTTGTGTGATAGAACTTCCAGTCAGAAGGTTGAATGAGTCCCCCATGCACTTGGTAGAAAATCAGTAAAAATGCAGTAGCCTGTGAAGATCATAAAACTGGACTTCTTTCCCAAAAAATCAGATGCCCAGGCAGATGGAGCTCACACTCAGACAGAAAAAAAGCAGGAGAGTCTTTGCACTGTCTGTGGTTTCAGTATTTTCTCTTTTTTTTTTTTAATATATTTTGGCAATTTTCTTTAATTATAAATATTGGAATTCCGTAAAAAAAAGGTAGCTTTGATTGAATTGTTTAAATTGTATTTACAACCACGGTCCAGTCATGCTGTTTGTTATACCAGGGTGTACGACTTTGCGTAGGGGTTGTTCCCTTTCAAATGGCCCCGAGAGTCGAGCAGGGATTCCTGGGAGCTGCTCATTTTAGCTGCCTGTCCCAGCTCTGCCCCCTCTCGCTGAGGTAATGTGGCCACGGCCCCCGGCTGCCTCGCCTGTCCTTCTCTCGTGGAGGAGGTGGAAGAGGAGGCTTCCATCGGGATGGGCTCGAGGACCGTGGGGCGCTTCAGGGTCCGACTTTTCTGAGGTTCCAAGCACGCCTGTCCTAAACTCAGGTCCCTGCTGGTGCCTGGACCACCTCGATTCAATAAAAAGTCCATTCTAAGGTATGGAGGCAAATGTATGAGGTCACCTGGAAACAAACACAGAGCAATTAGTTGGTTTCTTCATTTGGTAAACACACGCAGAGGCAGAAATGCCACTGTGCGCAGGGGCAGTTTCCAAGACAACTCGACAGAGCCCCCCACAAAGTCAGGTCGTCCCCGCACCTCTCCACCGGGCACGGGAAGGGCTCATTTCCCTGCCGTGCGTTAACTTAGGCTCTTCAACGTCATACTTGAACCAGAGAAACGGAGGTAACAAGAGTCTTCAAAACACCACAACTGAAAAAAATATGTATCTTAAAGGCAAGAACAGTGTCCACCGGGTACAAACTGGATAGACTGAACCCGGCATGTGATTGGGGTACCAGGAGGGGACAGGGTTTGAGGAGAGAGCCAGAGATGCTGAGGAAACTATCACGGAGAGCTGGTTCTTGCCTTGTCAATTCTACAAAACCACGTGACTTTGGCCAGCCACGTGGTTACGGGTTTCTGTGACAGAGTTGAAAACACCACAGCCTGTGGCCTCCTCGCCAGGCCTTGCCTACCTGCCACCCTCCTCCGTGTGTCTCTTCTGTCTGTGTATAGAGGTAACAACAGCTTAGAGGAGTTGTTAAACAGAGTATTGGTGTTTCTACTCCCTTCTCAACATCCCTTACTTTGGCCCTCTGATGCCATGGAAATGGACCCTCATGTCTCCTTCAGGAACACCTGTCGCACGGGGAAAGATCGTTGATGGCCTCCAGCTGCATCCCTCAAACACCAAGGCTACCCTTGCTCTGGGCTGCCCACAGCCAGGGACAAGCACGACGGGGTCCCCTGGAGACCACTGCTGCCCAGCGCGGGACTTGCTCACAGGCGACGTGTGCTCGGGGATTCCCAGTGGTCTTGCTGCAGCCACCTCAGAAGGGCATTACAGCCTGAGGCTCTTCCTGCCCAACCCTGACAGGTGTCAGACCCGCATTGTGGTCCCTGGGTGCCCCTGACTCTTCCTGCTTCCTGTCTCTATTCTTCACAAAAGTTTCCCCAAGAAACCCCTTGCATAGCTAATCTGCCCGACATCCGCTTCTTGGAAAACCTGACCTGACAGATTCTATCAGCAACTATTGAAATCAACTACGACCTCTGAGTGTTAAATTATGCAGTTTCTTCTTGGTCCTCATCCTACTTATATTATTACGACATTCGATGCTGTTGATACTTTCGCTCATGGAACTCTGAGCCGCCACGGCACTGTGGTCTCCTGGTCTCTTCCCGTGTCTCTGACGGCCACTTCTCACTTCCCTTACCGGATCCTTGTCTCTATCTCCCCCCTAAGTACAGAGTTTCCCGGTGGCCTGCTCTCAGCTCTCTCTCAGAGGTTTGGCTGCTTGTGGCATCTCTTAATAAACAGCTCTCACATCTACCTTTTCCATTTTGCTCTCTGAATTTCAGATGCTTTGCTAGGAATTTCCACATGAGTGTCCATCTGTCCTGAATTTTGAACACCACGGTCTACAAACTCAGCCCATGAAGGCCAGCCCCCACCCCCAGCCCCAAATGCTGCTCTCTCCTGCGTATCATTCTCGAGTAATGTCAGTGCCATCCTTCCATCCTTGAAACCTCGGAGTCCTCATTGACACCTTCCTCTCCAGGTTAATTCTACTGCAAAATGTCTCTTCACTCCTTTTTATTCCCGTCTTCATGGCCCTGGTTCACCACTTTAATGCATCTCATCATCCCCTGAAATGCTTGAGCTCAATGAGGGCCCAGCCACTAGATGCACTTTGCAACCAACACGGGACCGCTTGAGCTGGGCTGGCCCTGTATTTTAGTACAGACAGTGCACTTCCTCCGGCCCAGTGAATCCACCTTTCTCACTTCAAGACATGTAGACAAGGGCTATCTGTGCAGCACGCTGGGATGAACTCAGAGGGCCCTTCCCGGCCATCTCACCATCTGAGGCACCCACCAGCTTGGCACATCTGTAACTCATGGCATGCCAGGTGAGAAGATCTGGCTAGAGAACGGGCTGGGGCACGCAGTCCTGGGGCTGAAAGCCCAGGGAGGAGGAGGTGCAGGGGCAGAGATGTGATGATGATCGGAGCTCAGGGGGCAGATGTGGGATGTAGAGAGGAGGTGAAATTGTGAGACATGAAGGAGGCCCAAGGAAGATGGCTTCAGAATTGATGGCAAGTGGAAGTGGTGAAGCAGAAGGAGGGGTGGGGTGACTCCTTCCAGGTTCTAAACTCATGAAATTAGGGTGACGGTGGAACTGTTAACTGTATAAGGATGCATAGGGGGAAAGTCATATTTTGATGGCAAAGATAATGGGTTTGGTTTCAGACGTGTTGAGTCTGATGTGGTTGGGGGACACCCAAGAGGAGATACCTAGTTGGCATTTTTATCTTAATAATACATCTTTAGCACAATGCATTGCTCACTTTTTGAATCTAAAACAACTAAAAATTCTTGTTTCTTTTGCTTCAAAATATTCCCTACTTTCCCTATTTTCCTATTGGCTCACAGTAGCCAATCAAGCCTTCTTTGTCCAGGTCTTGGACTCTGAAGGCGCGGGGCTGGGGTTTGCAAGATCACCCGTGCCGAGTGAGGGCTGCCACTGGCCGGCTGCCATGCTAACAGGGCAATGGAAGTGATGTGTGATTAAACCCAGAACCTTAGAAAATGCCTACAAGTTTACCCACTGACGGAGAATAACCAGTATAATAGAAGGAAAGGACTACTCAAGGGTATAAGAGCACTGGAAATAAATAAAACCAAGACAAGCACTGAAAAATGCATCTCATACAATTTAAATGAGCATAAGACTTTCCAAAATGCTCTTACTTTTCTTAACATTTTCTTCCCAGGACAAGAGGGACGGTGACCTTATTCTTGGGAAATTTACCAAATGATTTGCATGTCCTTGCATTATTACATTGTCATGCCACTGGGTATTATTTACGATTCAGAAATTCACTTAGCATTTTCTCATTGGCTTTTTCAGGATGTCTTTATTCTATTAAGCGATGCTGGGTAGTTATATGATTTCATTAAGAACTGCAGCATGTACTTTGCCAAAATGACCCCAGTGACACTTTGGGTTTGGCTCACTGAAATCAAAGGCGCTCTCATTGAATGTTGGCTTTATGCGGCCAACTGGATCAAAGGGAGCCCAAAAATGAGTACCTAGAAAATAAATTGGCCATAAAACTCTTATAGAAAGAAATTACATAATTTGGCATTCTTGTGAAAAGGGTTTTGGTAGCTTGATGCATCTGGACTTTGGCTTAGAAAAATGATGGCCTGAGGCTTCCCATTATAGACTCTGATGTTGAGGGTTCAGGAACATCTTGCCATATCGGCTTTGTTCCTGAAAGATGCAAGTATTTAATTCTTAAAACTTTATGGCTTTGAAAATTATTGACATTCATTTATGAATATAAACATTCATGCATATTCATGGATATATTCTTCAATTTTCTCTCTCTAGGGGTTAACTATTCACAAACAAATGTCATGAGAGCATTAACAGTGCTGTCGTTAAGAAGTAAATTGGAAAATTCTTTTGTAATGTGAAGGTCATCCTGCAAGTGACTCAATACACACTAACTGACCAATTTTGAAATTTGTGTATTTTTATATATCCAATTTCCTACAAGTGATTATCTGTCATTATTTTTAAGAGCACAGTAAATAAATTATATTAAATTGTGTTTTTACTTATTTGCATGAGTCATATCATTTTTATCCTGTTGTTCAAATATCTGAGAAAATGTGGAAGACTTTTACCTCCAGGGTTATTTCAGAATGTAGGTCAAGAATGCCTCCTGCTGTTTCTGAGACCCAACTCAATCATGAGCACTTGGTATATTTGTAATGTGTTGTAACAGATTTGGGGATAGATCTCTATTCCAGCAACTCCCCACTGAATGCACGGGGCTTATTAAACCCTAAAAAGCAACAGCCTCTTGGTCCCAGCTGGATTACAGAATGCTCAGGTCTTAGGGTGGACGGAACAAACGTATTTGAAATCAAAAGACAAGGCTCCTAATAACTGCATCCTGCCTTCAGGGGCTCCCTGGATGTAGTGCTCCAGGGGTTCAAGTAGCTCAAATATAGATTGGTGAGGAATGAAAATCCTCCGTAACAGAAACAGCCCCGTGTTACGTCTTTACATACAAGGACTCCCGTGTTTGTGCACTGCAGGTCTGCCAAGTATCTCTGAGCACACACTACCTCTGAGCGATCAGCGGTTCAGGCCAAGCTTTGTGAAGTTGTAGGGTGCTCTGTTAGCTCCCCTAGGCAGTGTGTGTTTCCTGATTAGCACCCAAAGCAGCCCGTCTGACCGTGTGCATGCTGAAAATGAGCTCTCGCAGGAATTCACGCACTTATGGGGAAGAAAGCACCGGAGTGATCAGCGGTAAGCTTTGCCCATTACAATCCCAGCCCATGTGCTCGTCCAAATACCCGCTGTGACGCTGGATCCTCTAGCTGCCGGTCCATTTCCTGGGTTCTCCAGATGCCTAACGTGCCAGGACAACTCACGCAATCATTGCTTCAGGAAGAGAGACGTGAAGTGGGAGACGGTGGATGTTGGCGAGGCGGCTTTTCTCATCACCCCCTGCCCCGCCCTCCACCTGCCTGTGTCACGCGGGAACCTCGACTCCAGCTGTGGTGATGAGCAGTAGAGGTCAGGCTGACATTGCCCGCATTCGTCTGACTGGTATAGATGTGGGCTCAGTTTCCTTACCCACAAAATGGGAATAATAGCAGAATCTACCATCGAGGGCTGTGGTGAAGATTTAATTAGACAATGCATGTAAAACTTTACCTGGATTAGGGGATCTGTCTCTACGGGCCTTTACAGTTTGGTCCAGCCCTCCCCAGCTGACCCGTCCCCGGCATGGAGCCGCACGCTCCGCAGCTAATCAGCCAGGACGCTCTCGAGTTCTCCCAGGCATCTGAACGTAGCAGTGACCTAGAGGTTCAAGGATCC